TGTTTGCGATTATGAAAAGCTTTATCTTGCTCTCGCTGTGAAGCTATAGCCTATAAGCCCGTCTTGTCTGTACTTCATGAGTGCTTGCTTGGGTTGTTATTTGTTTAATAATCCTCAATCTGTTAAGTTTGTTGTTGTGTCGTTTGTGTGTGTGTGTGTGTGCTCTCGTTTTGCAGCATACTCACCAACCCCGAATCTTTATAAGAGAGGGTAAGCAACAATGGCTGAGGGGGAAGATATTCAACCTATCGTTATCGATAACGGATCTCGAACGGTTAAGGCGAGCTGTCTCGATTATTTGCCCCCCTTTCGCATATTAATCTTGTTTCTAACATATTATCGTCTCTCAATTTTTCTATCTTATCGTGTATTTTACTTTCTCCTTAGGCTGGTTTTGCTGGTGATGATGCCCCTAGGGCAGTTTTCACGAGCATAGTCGGCCGCCCTCGCCACACCGGCGTGATGGTCGGGATGAGTCAAAAGGATGCTTATGTAGGTGAAGAGGCCGCGAGTAAAAGAGGCATCCTCATACTAAAGTACCCGATCGAGCACGGCATAGTCACCAATTGGGATGCCATGGAGAAGGTTTGGCACCACGCTTTCCACAACGAGCTCCGTGTTTCTCCCGAGGACCACCCCGTTCTCGTTACGGAGGCCCCTCTCAACCCGAAGGCGAACCGAAAGAAAATGACTGAGATCATGTTCGAGACCTTCAGTTTTCCGGCTATGTACGTTGCTATTCAACCCGTGCTTTCACTGTACGCCAGTGGGCGTAAAACCGGCATAGTTCTCGATTCTGGCTTTGGAAGCAGCCACGCGGTCCCGGTTTTCGAGGGCTACGCCCTTCCCCACGCCATCTTGCGTCTGGGCCTCGCCGGCCTCGACCTCACTTTCTCTCTCAAGAAGATCTGTACCGACAGATACTACTTCCAACAGGAATTCATGAATGATGTAAAAGAGAAGCTTGCCTACGTGGCACTCGACTTCGAACGGGAGTTGGAAAAAACGCCAAAGACAGCTCGGCGGTCGAACAGAACTACGAGCTGCCCGACGGGCAGTTCATCACCATAGGGTCCGAGAGGTTCCGCTGCGCGGAACCCCTCTTCCGGCCGTCGCTGAACGGGATGGAAGCTGCCGGGCCCGGGATTCACGAGATGACTCATAATTCTATCGTGAAGTGTGACGTGGATTTAAGGAAGGATCTGTACGGGAATATCGTGCTCAGTGGCGGGTCCACCATGTTCCCGGGCATTGCCGAACGTATGAGCAAGGAGATAACTGCTCTTGCTCCCAGCGGTACGAAGGTTAATGTGGTG